CTTTAACATCAAGACTGACTTCTTCTACCAAACAACTAGTCATGCTTTAATCTTTTATTAATGAAATATCTGTCAAGGAATTAAAACTACATGTAGAAAACGTAAAGATTAACATTTAAAAATAAGCATTTCCCAGTGCAGTTTTACATTAAACATCTTTTGAATGGATTTATTTTGTCAGCCAATATAATTCTATTTTGTTTATTATTAAAAATAATAAAGCAACTAGGTTAAAACTAATAAGTCTTATTGACGAAAAGAGTTTGCTTTATTTACACACAGGAATCAGACCGGGCCTTGTGGGTGAAAACCACAAATCCTAACCACTAGACCATATGGAAATGTTCATAACTTAAAAATTTCTCTTAAGTTTATAGTATAAAAGTTATTTCAAATATTTTCAATTGAAGATTGATTGATTAAATGATAAGTCAGTGACTAAAATATTTCAAATATCTGACAAGTATTAAATCTTGTTATAGTTATACTTAAATTGTTAAACTTTCTGTTAAGTTCATTATTAATAGCAAACTGTTTGTTATTTGTAGCTTATGTATTAAAAACGAGACTCATAAATTAACCCAACAGCTTTCTTTCATATTTAAATTAATAAGTATTAATGTAAAATCATTTTCTCAATTTTGGGTTGGGATTGAGTTTAATAGTGGAGTATTTGCTTTTCATGTAAAAGAGTGTAGTGTAAATGCTAACATCGTCCACTCTTTAATTTCGAATCATTACTGTCAAGAAAAGTTAAGATTTAGTAGAGCAACCTTAGTGGAGAAAGTTACATATTGAAGTGACAAATAAAGTATATAAAAGTAGTAAAATTTCTTAAGTTGTTTAATTTAATAAGAAATAGCAAAGAAAAAAACAGTCTGAACTAAAATTTTCATGTCTTTTTATTTGATGAAGCGCCCAACGTGGGTTTCAAAATACTACCTTAACATCAAGACTGACTTCTTCTACCAAACAAACTAGTCATGCTTTAATCTTTGATTAATGAAATATCTGTCGAGGAAATAAAACTACATGCAGAAAACGTAAAGATTAACATTTAAAAATAAGCATTTCCCAGTGCAGTTTTACATTAAACATCTTTCGAATGGATTTATTTTTGTCAGCCAATTTAATTCTATTTTGTTTAGTATTAAAAATAATAAAGTAACTAGGTTAAAACTAATAAGTCTTATTGACAAAAAGAGTTTGCTTTATTTCCACATCGGGAATCGAACCCGGGCCTTGTGGGTGAAAACCACAAATCCTAACCACTGGACCATATGGAAGTGTTCATAACTTAAAAATTTCTCTTAAGTTTATGGTATAAAAGTTATTTCAAATATTTTCAATTGAAGATTGATTGATTAAATGATAAGTCAGTGACTAAAATATTTCAAATATCTGACAAGTATTAAATCTTGTTATAGTTATATTTAAATTGCAAAACTTTGTGTTAAGTTCATTGTTAATAGCAAGTTATTTGTTATTTGTAGCTAATATATTAAAATGAGACTGATAAATTAACCCAACAGCTTTCTTTCATATTTAAACTTAATAAGTATTAATATAGAAATAATTTTTCTCATTTTTTGGATAGGGATTGAGTTTAATGGTGGAGTATTTGCTTTTCATGTAAAAGTGTGTAGTGTAAATGCTAACATCGTCCACTTATTAATTTCAAATCATTACTGTCAAGATAAGTTAAGATTTAGAAGAACAACCTAATGTATATAAAAGTAGAAAAATTTCTTAAGTTGTTTAATTTCATAAGAAATAGCAAAGAAAAAAACAGTCTGAATTGAATTTTTTATGTCATGTAATTTAATGAAACGCCCAACGTGGGTTTTAAAATACTACCTTAACAATAAGACTGACTTCTTCTTCCAAATAAACTAGTCATGCTTTAATCTTTGATTAATGAAATATCTGTCAAGGAATTAAAACTACATGCAGAAAACGTAAAGATTAACATTTAAAAATAAGCATTTCCCAGTGCAGTTTTACATTAAATATCTTTTGATTGGATTTATTTTTGTCAGCCAATTTAATTCTATTTTGTTTATTATTAAAAATAATAAAGTAACTATGTTAAAACTAATAAGTCTTATTGACGAAAAGAATTTGCTTTATTTCCACACCGGGAATCGAACCTGGGCCTTGTGGGTGAAAACCACAAATCCTAACCACTGGACCATATGGAAATGTTCATAACTTAAAAATTTCTCTTAAGTTTATAGTATAAAAAATATTTCAAATATTTTCAATTGAAGATTGATTGATTAAATGATAAGTCAGTGACTAAAATATTTCAAATATCTGACAAGTATTAAATCTTGTTATAGTTATATTTAAATTGCAAAACTTTGTGTTAAGTTCATTATTAATAGCAAGTTATTTGTTATTTGTAGCTAATATATTAAAATGAGACTGCTAAATTAACCCAACAGCTTTCTTTCATATTTAAACTTAATAAGTATTAATATAGAAATAATTTTTCTCATTTTTGGATAGGGATTGAGTTTAATGGTGGAGTATTTGCTTTTCATGTAAAAGTGTGTAGTGTAAATGCTAACATCGTCCACTTATTAATTTGAAATCATTACTGTCAAGATAAGTTAAGATTTAGAAGAACAACCTAATGTATATAAAAGTAGAAAAATTTCTTAAGTTGTTTAATTTCATAAGAAATAGCAAAGAAAAAACAGTCTGAATTGAATTTTTTATGTCATGTAATTTAATGAAACGCCCAACGTAGGTTTTAAAATACTACCTTAACAATAAGACTGACTTGTTCTTCCTAACAAACTAGTCATGCTTTAATCTTTGATTAATGAAATATCTGTCAAGGAATTAAAACTACATGCAGAAAACGTAAAGATTAACATTTAAAAATAAGCATTTCCCAGTGCAGTTTTACATTAACGATCTTTTGAATGGATTTATTTTTGTCAGCCAATTTCATTCTATTTTGTTTATTATTAAAAATAAGCATTTCCCAGTGCAGTTTTACATTAAATATCTTTTGATTGGATTTATTTTTGTCAGCCAATTTAATTCTATTTTGTTTATTATTAAAAATAATAAAGTAACTATGTTAAAACTAATAAGTCTTATTGACGAAAAGAATTTGCTTTATTTCCACACCGGGAATCGAACCCGGGCCTTGTGGGTGAAAACCACAAATCCTAACCACTGGACCATATGGAAATGTTCATAACTTAAAAATTTCTCTGAAGTTTATAGTATAAAAAATATTTCAAATATTTTCAATTGAAGATTGATTGATTAAATGATAAGTCAGTGACTAAAATATTTCAAATATCTGACAAGTATTAAATCTTGTTATAGTTATATTTAAATTGCAAAACTTTGTGTTAAGTTCATTATTAATAGCAAGTTATTTGCTATTTGTAGCTAATATATTAAAAATGAGACTGCTAAATTAACCCAACAGCTTTCTTTCATATTTAAACTTAATAAGTATTAATATAGAAATAATTTTCTCATTTTTGGATAGGGATTGAGTTTAATGGTGGAGTATTTGCTTTTCATGTAAAAGTGTGTAGTGTAAATGCTAACATCGTCCACTTATTAATTTGAAATCATTACTGTCAAGATAAGTTAAGATTTAGAAGAACAACCTAATGTATATAAAAGTAGAAAAATTTCTTAAGTTGTTTAATTTCATAAGAAATAGCAAAGAAAAAACAGTCTGAATTGAATTTTTTATGTCATGTAATTTAATGAAACGCCCAACGTAGGTTTTAAAATACTACCTTAACAATAAGACTGACTTGTTCTTCCTAACAAACTAGTCATGCTTTAATCTTTGATTAATGAAATATCTGTCAAGGAATTAAAACTACATGCAGAAAACGTAAAGATTAACATTTAAAAATAAGCATTTCCCAGTGCAGTTTTACATTAACGATCTTTTGAATGGATTTATTTTTGTCAGCCAATTTCATTCTATTTTGTTTATTATTAAAAATAAGCATTTCCCGGTGCAGTTTTACATTAAACAACTTTTGAATGGATTTATTTTTGTCACCCAATTTAATTCTATTTTGTTTGTTATTAAAAATAATAAAGTAAATAGGTTAAAACAAATAAGTCTTATTGACGAAAAGAGTTTGCTTTATTTCCACACCGGGAATCGAACCCAGGCCTTGTGGGTGAAAACCACAAATTCTAAGCACTGGAATCATATGGAAGTGTTCATAACATAAAAATTTCTCTTAAGTTTATAGTATAAAAGTTATTTCAAATATTTTCAATTAAAGATTGATTGATTAAATGATAAGTCAGTCGCTAAAATATTTCAAATATCTGACAAGTATTATATCTTGTTATAGTTATATTTAAATTGCAAAACTTTGTATTAAGTTCATTATTAATAGCAAGTTATTTGTTATTTGTAGCTAATATATTAAAAATGAGACTCATAAATTAATCCAACAGCTTTCTTTCATATTTAAAATTAATAAGTATTAATATAAAAATCATTTTTCTCAATTTTGGATAGGGATTGAGTTTAATAGTGGAGTATTTGCTTTTCATGTAAAAGAGTGTAGTGTAAATGCTAACATCGTCCACTCTTTAATTTTAAATCATTACTGTCAAGAAAAGTTAAGATTTAGAAGAGCAACCTTGGTGGAAGAAGTTATGTATTGAAGTGACAAATAAAGTATATAAAAGTAGCAAAATTTCTTAAGTTGTTTAATTTAAAAAAGAATAGGAAACACAAAAACAGTCTGACTTAAAGTTTTCATGTCATATTATTTAATGAAGCACCCATCGTGGGTTTTAAAATTACTACCTTAACATATAAAAATAAACATTTCTCGGTACAGTTTTTACAGTAACCATCTTTTTAATACAAACAACCTATTATATCAGCAGGATAAATATAAAGTTGAGCGTTATTAAAATTTATGTTTTCACTGAAATAATTGCATTCACAAAATTGTCTTTTTAATCATGTTTTCCATATCTTTTAGAAAAATGGCTAGCAAACGTTCAACGAAATAAATTGGACGAAACAATTAGATGTTGTCGACAATTTTATCCAAATTAGATAAATTTAAATGCTTACATATTATGTGAGGCTGATTTGTTATTGTAGTTAGGTGCATTTTCAAACCATATTCTCACTATTACAATATATTTCTTTTATTTTAATACCAAAATATTAATTATTTTGTATATTAAAATAAAATCTCATCAAAATGATAGTTTGAGATTAACATAACAAAACATAAAGCAATTGTATAACAATGTAAATATTTAATGTAAATATGCGAACTGAATGAAATCATTTTGTTACACAATTTTTTCTATTTTTTTGTAGTTAAAATCAAAATAAAAAGGCAACACTAATAAATGTTGTTTCGAAAATATTTTGCTTTATTTGCATACCGGGAATTGAACCGGGCCTTCTGGGTGAAAACCACAAATCGAAACATCTAGACCATATGGAAATCTATGTACGTTCAAATTCCTTTTAAGATCATGGCATAAAAGTTATTTTGAAGATTTTCAATTTGAGATATATTGTATAAACTATAAGTCAGTAACTGAAATATCTTAATATCAGACAAATATTAAATCTTGTTATAAATATAATAAAATATCAAAACTTTATGTTAAGTTGATTATTAGTAACAAAGTATTTTGTTATTCAAGAGTTAACATATTTGAAAGGAGACTAAAAATTAATCGTAGAACTTTCTTTAAAAAGTGGAGTTAATAAGTCTTAACTTAACAAATATATTTTTAATGTCTGTTGAAGGTTTTTTGGTTGATAAGTTTTCGTAGTCCGTATAGTCTGAATACTCGTGGTACTGAACATTTAAGTTGATAGTAAGTACGTTCAGTTATAATATTAGATTTTCTCATAGAGAAGATCTTGCTGTTAAATTTGCGTACTAGTGATTGTGTTGGGTCTCATTTGAGTTGTTTGTACATACGTCTTATTCCCAATACAAGCAATCAAGCAACTAAAACCATTACACTTCACACTTATTCACAATGACAATACACGATTGACACGTACACATTTCCTGTACACACATTACAATGACGTAAGACCAGATAACAAATACCACTAACCTGGGGCCGGTTGTATAAAGCTCTTGACTACTTTTTAACTGCAATTTTTGCAGTTAAAAAGTAGTTAATATTAACCACGCGGTTAGGTCGGTTGTATAAAAAAGTAGTTAGCGCTAAGTGCAGTTAAAAGGTAGTTAAAGTTAACTATGCTATGGAGCATGAACTTTTCAAAACACAGTTAAATATGGCGGCTTGGCTTCTCAAAGACAATTTTGGCAAGATGTTGTTGATCAACAAGGTTTTACCTTGAGTTTTAATCAAATATGTATCTTCCATGGGAAGGCTTTTAGAATAAGAGCTTTATGGACTGTGTGCTACATTCGACAGTGCTGTAAACATCAAAGTTTTGCCGACTAAAACAGCCAACAACTTATCCGCGTAACAAAGCCCTTCTTACACAAGAGCCATTGCATTTTGTATTGTCTTCTTTGCGGCCGGTAGTTCTTTCTACTCATAACCGACACACTCAATTGAGATAGAGCCACTTCTTTACGATTAGTGCACATAACTCGCTGACATTTTCTTACAAACACGTTCAATTCGTTCAATGACAAAAAAAGAAAGAATGTTATTCGAGCAATGAATCCTATAGCTTTGGATGTATAAAATATTCAAATTGCGGGTTTTTCCCTATGATTTTGCTGGATTGAATATTATATGCATCATATAAACTCTTTCTCTATGGAAAATAAGCTAGATTATGTTAAAACAAAAAGGTACTACAGTATAAATGTTGCTGTAAGTATACCAGTGATAATACATATAGATACATGATCTTTACAACAGTTTTTATTCATGACTACTCTTTTGTGTATCAGCTGCATGAGATACAATATTGTTAGTTTTTTAAATGCATAAAACATTTTATCAGCATGCATGGTGAAGGTCCATGTTGCTTGATACATATACATTATCCATTGCACATGGTTTATGACACAAGCAGAAGGTATACATGACAGTCAATTAGTGGGTTTTATTGATATTTCATCAAGTATGTCCTATGTAAAAATGTTTATTTTTTATTTACGTGCAATCCTGCCTGCCAATAAAGATCTAGCTACTGTTTGATGATTTAAAAAGTAGAAAAAAAAAAAACTCCCAAGCTTATACAAAAATAAGCTAATAAATCAGAAAGGCACAAATAAAAGTTTCATAGCTAAGGCTCATTAACAAATATACCCAATAGTTTTATAACTCAGTTTTTGCAAGGTAGAATTAAGAACAAAATAGGGTTTTGTGTATAGCTGTATAACAGGTCACAAGCAGAGAAAAGGCAGTTGCTGGATTACATGGCTAAAAACCATGATGGCTCAAAGAAATGTTTTCTAATAATAAAAAAGTCCATCACTGTCATCTTTTACAAATATGTGTGACTTTTGTCTGTACAAACACATTTCTTTCAAACATTTTACTCAGCAGTTATGAAGAGAAACGAAACGACCCTTATCTTTGTTACCCTCAGTCTCTCAGTTTTAAATTCTGTAAAAGCAAGGCCATTGAAATATTTAAATCCTTGCACATAGAGTACAAATTGCAATATGAATCAATTTGAGAATTCATAGCTTCGTTTGCGCAAGTCCTTTATATATAATTGGTACATGAAAGAAAGCAGTCCTTGCCGAGACGCATATCATTCATCAACATCGTACTGTACTACACGGAATATAAGGTCGATTTTCTTAAGAAATGTCCAAAGTATATGCTACAATTTAATCCGGTTACCATGGCACCGTGAATCGTTTATTACATTTCTTTTCGCATCATCAACAACATCCGTAAAAACAACAATATTTTAAGATTTGCCATATTTTAAGATTTTTACATAAGCCATGAGAGTTTTCTTCATTTTAAAGTCATTTTATAGTTCACTTGCCCGCCATTACAAAGCATAAATTGATGAGACTTTATGTCATTTTACGTAAACAACACTCCACGCAGTTTCCACGCAAGTTAATTACGCAGTTACTTAACTATCCGACAACTACGTTTTGTGCAACGCAGTTAATTCGAGCAGTTAAGTTACTACAGTTAAGGAATTAACTACAGTAGTTGACGATGACTACCGCTAAGTTTGTCGAAATCTCAGTCGACAACAACAAAAACAATCCTTCTCAGGACTATACTAGCCTGAACAATCTACATATAACGATACTCCCGGCTTCAAACCATTTACTTTATAACTATTTTTGTTGTTGTGTTTTCATTATCTGAGCACTTATTAATTCAGTTAAGTCATCTTGCTTACGTGCTCAAATAACAATGTATTTAAGTAATATTGTACATCTAAGTGAAACTTTTCTTTTTTAACTGTTGTAATAACACAGAGTCCACACTTACCTGACATCACACCAAGGCCAAATTGATCAAAAGTACCATAACAACTAAAAGGACGTAAAAGCTAATCAGATAAAAATATAGTTAAAAAATGCTCTCTGGAAGTCACCTATTTTGTATTCCATTTTAAAAAATGTTAAATCTATACTGTTCTGGTGTTTATAGCCGACGTTGTTCAGCAAACTTTTTTTTTAAAGTTTTATTTTGGTTGTTACAAGTAAGGAATACGATGAACACTAAATCATAATTAATTTTCTCATCTGAAAGTAGCTTCAAATTTATATTCAAGTACTAAGCCTTTGTACAATTGAAAATTTTGCATTTAATGTAAATATGTCTATTTTCAAAAACTGGTCGTTTGCATTAAATATATGTTAGCAATAACGCTTCAATGAAGTTACTGAAATATTTATAGAAAAAATTCCTTCTATCGCATCTCAATGTGAGAACTACTGTACAAAATTCCTATGATATAGCTAAAATGCAAAACCATATGATTTCTCGTAATTTTTCATTTTTTTAAAGGAGTTTTTTATGGATTGTAAGCAACATGCTTATATTGATTAATGCGCTTCCTAACTTGCGAGCAGGGTTTGCCACTGACTGTAGATTTTTCGTAAGAGAGACATTGCAGTGCATGGAACAAATGACATGTAGATTGCCACTGACTGTAGAATTTTCGTAAGAGAGACATTGCAATGCATGGAATAGCACTTAGGTGATTCTAAAGATGTTTGATAAAGTAAAAGACATTATGCATTTTAGTATCCAACTGACGTGTACTCCAATGTCATTTTTTACGTCACTTTATCATCAAAATCAAACTGCTTGACAAAATTTATGTCAATTAGGAACAGAATGCGATTTAGTAACTATGTTTGATACATCTCACTTTGTCCAATTATACGTAGTTGGACGCCATTGCTTTATCCGGTAGTAAAATTTTCACAAATAATAAGCATTTTTTCAAGTGTGAATTGAGTTAAATAGATGAACTTTTGAAATTCCTTGCGCAGAAAAGAACGAAGCTAAAAAAAGCAATTAGATTACATAGGCACAGAATAAGAATATGCAGAAGAGTCACTTGTGTTCGAAACTTTGATATTTTGTCCTTGTGCATGTCGTGACGCTTATACTTGCCGCCAGTATTCAACCCAATTGATTAAGGTTTTGACTTGTTCCCAACATTTAATATGATCCGAAGCTATTTCTTAAGTCAAAATATTCTCGAATTCAATATTGACATTTGAGGTCTTGTAATTTTGATGTTTGGAATAAACTAGCTGAAATAATAACTGACGTGAGTTCGCTTTGAACATCCGAGTAACCTTTCTGTATGATCATTATTCTGTGATATAGGGTTGAAATATGGCACAATTTGTTAAAACATACAAAACGTTCGAGAAATTTGCCAGACAAGCATTAAAAATAGGCATCCAAGATATTAGCTTAGCCGTATATAGGAAACCAAAATATTTGCTTAGCCGTAGTATAAATCCGGACTGGCTACGCTACTAAAGATTGGTAACTGGTTTACTTAGTTATCTAAATGGATCCTTGTTTTGTTTTTACTGTGTATTTTGAAGTAATTTTTGAGCAATCAACAATTCTGTACTCTGCTTTGCAATATAAAGAAACTGACCGTCAGTATGGAATAAGTAAAGTTGAGAATTTTAAGACTTTTGTGATTAGTCTAAGATATAAAATTGAGTATTTAGAGTTTCTTGATGCAACTGTTTAGAAAGTGGGCACTCTATCTAGTAGACATGATAAAAGGCAAAACTATAAGCAAATGTATTTTGATATTTCTTGATGGTATGCTAACTGAACTTTTTCAGGACATTGAGCGTTTTACATTTTTAAACCTTGTCACCCCAAGATTCCTTATGAACTAGAAAGTTGAAGAACCTTTAGAGAAAATTATTCTACTAAAAGAGATTAATGACAATCGGTTTGATATATAACAATACTTTTCCGCCAACTCTGCTTTTTGTACAGGGATAAAGATTTTCAAGAAAATTCTTGTGCAGAATTACTTAAAAATATAATTTTGAGTTCCATCTTCAATCTAGTATTAATGAAGTCATAAAGTTGATGTAGAGGAATGGTGTTTTTTCAGTTACAAAAGCTTCCGTTGAAAGATCATTCTCTTGTTTAAAAAGAGTGAAGAGTTATTAAAAAAATATCACGAGTCTAGGTCGTCTAAATTCTCTTTGCAGAATTTCCATACATAAAGACATTTTATCAGAAAAAGAACATGCGAACACCGTACTTGATTAAGTATTAAGAAAGTCCATTGAAAAACAGCGAACACTTGCCTTTTTCTATAAGTAGCAAATGCGCGAAGTTATACTAAAACTGGTACGAAATGAAAACAGGATTTAAATCAAGACTGTCAAAAGTTCAAGCTTTAGCCAAAAGCAAATAAGCGCTCAAGGTGCGCTGTTACGAATAAAAAAGCAAAACAGTGCATGTAAAAGGACTATGCACATTTACTTTTGGAAAAGTGCAACTGATTGTGGTAATGCGAAAATGTAGCAGAAATTTCAGACATCGCAACTGGCTGCTGCAATGCGTCATTGCTGCAGAAAAGTTAGCGCAACTGGCTATTGTAATGCGCAATTTATGCAGAAAAGGTAGCGCAACTGGCTGCTATATTTCAAGAAATAAACTCAAACTTAAAGGAAATGTTGCTTTGAAATTCAACTGGTACCAAATAATCTTACAAATACTAAATTACAAGTCGCCAAAATTGAAAATTCCGTATGTTCATCGTCTTGTTTTTCTCTCTCATTATCCCTATTTGCCTGTTCTGTTCTCTTCTCAGCATTTGGACATTGCGAAGCCGACTTTAACAATTGCAATAGAGTTTGCAGAGTTTGTAAATTTTTCTCATTTAGAAGTAAAAAAAGTGAATATACACCGAGAAGCAGGAGCAAATGATGTTAATTTTGAGTTAGCACTGATTTTGGTATGCATAACGCAGAAAACTCGTCATCTGAGTGAGCAACTTCAACAAGCTTTATTGTTCGCCATTGTTTTGCAAGTGTAGTGAAAGACCTTTCACCCCGACACTATCTAATTAGTTGAGAGCAAACACTCTCTTTGCTTTGATTGGCGTAAAGACATCACTGTAAAAAGTGACTGGTTAAAATAACAATATGATTGGTTAAAAAACCCACAAAAATATTGGTTAAATTGGTCAATTGCACATGAGGTAACCACTTTTTTTAACCAAACATTTTTTACAGTGTAAGACGTAACAACATTACATTGACTTTTCTCGAATCACACATTCAATATTAAATAATCGATTTTTCTCTATAATTTGCATGTTGTACGATTGATATACATGCTAAAGTTGATAAGTACTACTATAGCAACAAAATGTTTAAGAAATTTTTTGGTTCCTCGATGGGCACATAAAAAAGGTAAGTTTGATGTGGGCCCATTACCTAAATGACATTTTCAACGTTTAGAGCAAAACAAAATGTTTTTGTGGGCATCGTTTATGCGTAAAAAACAACACATTTTGCTAACGTTTCTTTTTAAAAACTGTAAAGTGAACAATAGTTGAATGTTTTCTAAAATGTTAAGAATTCTTTAATAACTTGTATTTTTTAAAATGTCGAGTTTTTTTTGTTTCGGAAATCTAAGTGATCAAACATTTGAGAAGCATTATGTAGTCAACATATTGTAAAATCCTTCCTGGTGAAAAAGTCGATTTCTCGACAACACAAGTGTAACCTCTACTCGTGCCCCTCCAGAGCACGAGTCTGAAACCATGTTTGCAAGATATGTAGTCTCATCAGAGAATTGAACTCTGGACCCTTGGTTTACGAGACCAATGCTCTAACCTCTGAGCTAATAAGGCTGTTACAAAGTACGAAATTTTTAGTTGCTTTATTTATAACACTCTCATGAAATGTAGGTATTTCACCTCTCAAGTCTAATATTTAAGTATACACTTAGACATAAAATTTTCACAAATTTTGTTAATCAATGAACAAAGAATTCTTTCATAAAATCTATTATAAATACTAAAACTAGTTTAGAATAATTTATACCAGAAGATTTTTGGACTTTGTTGTTGATGTTATGTAAATACTACTGCAAGGAATTTCTTTTTTATTTGCTCAATGAAATGTCCAGCCCTTCAGAAGCGATTTGGTACAAAAATGAGCATAATACGTTTACAAAAACTAGATTAATTTTAACTTCACTTTTGTTGCCGCATGCGAACTTTAGTGCCGCCATGTGACGTCACAACGATGATCAAGGTCAATATGCTAATATTATTAAAACAACGCGCTCACTTTTCCTCCGTGAATTCTTTTGCTTTTAAAGCATTAGTTTTTAGAAAAATTAATTTTAAATTGAAGAGAGTAATAACATAAAAGCAATGCATATGTTATCAAACGAGTCCGCTTAAAGCACAAATACGTCCGATAAATAATAAAATACTTTTATGAAATTACCGTCTATATTTCAAATAACTACTTTACTCTGCCTATTCCTTATAATAATGCAATAATTCATTTTGCATTCTACTAAAGTTCTTGATTTTACAACAAGAGCTGTGTAACGCATAAACAATAACACAAAATATTTTTTATTTTGACAAAACTATAAACTGCATTTGTCAAAGTTGCCATTTTGACTTATTAGGAGGATGCATTGGAGTATTGTAAAGAAGTGGGACTCAATTTTTTAAATTTTTAGTCTATTTCTATGGCTCTATTTAAAACTTTATGTTGGGCATTAATTTTTACTACACAAATTCGATTTCCGCTCTGCAAGTCTCTCGCAACTATTTTTATTACGATTTGGGCTAAGACATCAAGTTATAATAGCTGTGTCACAACTCTCTTTTAAAAATTCATCATCTTGCAATACACTGAATCAAAACAACGAAGTCGGAATCTTCATTGCCCCTAGTGACACTTATTTTTGTTTTGTACTGATGAATAAACTGCTTTGATAACGATAACCCAAAGTTTTCATGGACAAGAGATTTAATGTTTTTACTAGACTTTGTCAAATAAAATATGGACTTATGCGGCAGCTGGCGATCACCTGGTTATAAAAGAAAGTTCTTCAGCGTTGAAAAACAGTAATAATAAGAAGAATAAGGAAAAGTTACAATTTATTCGGAAAGATGTAACCAGAATGAAAGACCAATTTATTAATATCTTTAAAGAAAAGTGGGCGACGACAACCTTTCACTAAAGGTCAATAATAGACAGGACACTACAGCAAAACTAATTGATGGTGCTTAAATGTGCAGGTTGAGCGAAACCCAAAATCTTTCGATTATATAAAAAGGAATTTTATGTTTTATCATTCCGATATGGAGGACAAAAAATAAATTTGGAATTATTGCAGTTTGGAGATGATGCTCTGCAAAACGTAGATACCACGCAGGAGATTTGTACTTAAAATGTTAATTGCTTTTAAAAAATTGATGCTTCGAATCAAGCGAATTATGTAAATTCTGTCTTCAATTAACTAATCACAGAGAACAATAGCAGCATAACCATTGAAAGGGATAACACAACAATAAACGTTTCACATTTTTGTAAGCACATCTTTTAATATAGGTCCAGCAGTGTACAGGAGCACTAAATTGCACACACTTTCCGATTGTTGCACTTTTAAAAAAGTCCAGTCCTTATACTACATCCAGAAAGGCTTTTATTCTATTGTTTACAAGCATTAGTAGATCATCAGTGCAAGGATTTTTAATTTTATGTCTATCATATAGGTGACTTTATATTTTTACTGTACGTGTCTTCGAGTTCCTCACACATATATTAAGAACATAATTTGTTTGCATTACTTATATATTGAAATTTAACTAACTCTTTATTTCATATTACAGATAATATCAATAATTGTGATATGGTTTGTGGATGATTCTGTCTGTCAATTGCTCCCTTGGTTGATGACACTTTTAAGAAATAATGGAAATTTAAGTCAAAGTGAACTTAAATTCGATTCCAAACTAATTTGTGCAAGGATAGTAGTAGAATGCGCATTTGGCCAAATGAAACATTTAGATATCTTATTATAAGAAAAATGAGAATTACTTGAAATACATAACGCCAAAGTTGAAACATGCTGTGTCTTACATAATCTTTGTAAAATGAGAGAAGATTTTGTGCAACACAATGCAATTATTGATGGTTTGAGTGAGGAAAATCAATTTTATAATATGCCAGATGCAGACATTCATGGAAGAGCTGAAGAATTTAGACTTTCTTTAATTGCATTTTTTTATACCAAGTATTAACTATGTCAAGGTTTACTGCTTTTTGTTGTCAAACATCCCTATATGACAGACTCGATAACTAATAAAAAAATGATTTGTAAAATTTAAAGAATTTATATGGGTTTTTGCAAAGGAGTTCTTCAATATTCCGTGGCATGCAAATGTTTTGAAACAGTCGAAAAAAAATGTGTAGGTTGCGCAACAAACTCACACACCAAATTTCCCTCACTACTGGGATCATTCTAACGTACTTAATAAAGCATAAATATTTTTTTTAGCTTTTGTCGTAGAAAAATTCCCCGGAAGAAGTAGCACAGTTATAAAATAAACCATGGCTGAAAAATATAAAGACCATAGAGTGTCCATGGAAAACAAAAAACAAATACTGGAATATACGTAATGCTTTGAAGATTTAAATACTTAAGACAGTTCTATCAATTTTCATTTTACCATTAATTTTACTTTCCATGTCTCACAAAAAATAGAACTTAAGTTTTAAATACATAAAGTAGATATATTTTTATTGATATTGAATTGTGTAGTCCTTTCTAAAAAAATTGTCGTCAAATTAAATAAAAGGTTCAAAGTAAAATATACAAAAACTAACGCCACGTTTCCAAAAGTTGATTAAATATTTTAATATATTTGAGCGCAAAATATGAAACACGCTCTGCTACGTGCACGACATGACGCCCAACGTGGGGCTCGAACCCACGACCCTGAGATTAAGAGTCTCATGCTCTACCCACTGAGCTAGCCGGGCTACATACTCCGAGGGAAACAAATACTAAAAACATTAACATAACAACAGAGTTTTGGTTTGGTGGGCCAAGAAAAGAAAATTTGATAAAAGGGAAACCATTTATGTAAAAAATAGCCATACCCAAGAAACATTTATGTAGTAAAATGAGCATAGATTATAGAATTCAAAATATTTTAATAAAACTTTGTACCTTGAAAATTTCTCCTTTTCAATGAAACTTACGGTAAATTTACATATGAAACAGCTTGTTTCTGTGAGTTAACTTCTAATTTTAATGATTTTAAGTCCCAAGTTTATTTTAGAGAAAAATGAAATAGCGAACAATAACCCAATAAAGTTATAATAAAAGCCAACATTTGCTAAACTACATACAAATCATATATCAATTTAAAGCTAATATAATGAAGAATTTAATTGTAGTGTTCAAATTAGGATGAAATTCGTTTCCATGACGACACAAGGTGTCAATTACCGAGGTGATAATATTTTCAAACTAAAACATTCAATGTAAAGATAGAGTTCTCGGGATATTCTTTAGATGTAATTGCTTACTGCTGTTCACAAAAAAGCCTGTATTATAATCTTTCAGATGATGTATAACTTTTCTCATTTAGGCACGAGAAAGCTCAAATAATTGGAAAATTGCAATCGTACCGTGGGAGCAAATATAGCAATAAAATAAGAAATAATTTCAAAACAATCTATGAGCTTCAACAAACTTATAAGTTTCACCAACTTAGGGTTTTATTGCATAAAATGTGTAATTTTTAATACCATGCTTATATTTACCAACAATTCTGTCGGAAAAACTAATGTCTGGTGTGAAAAATTTTAAAGCAAGGTGCTACACATAGTCCCACATCGCAGTCTTTACAGAAATAGGAAGTCCTTTTTGGTTTTTATTTTGTGGAACATACTTTGCACATTCTTTCCTTAGTCTTTCCTTTGCTGTTGGATGGAATTATGCTTGGAAAAATCTACCAGGTGATTCAATAGCTGGTCGAACAACATGTCTCTGAGAAGAAAACTCCCCAATAAGAAGTTTGGAGACTTCTAGGTGGAAAATATTTGAGCTCCTCATGTTATGGTTTGGTGACAGCCTTTCCAGGATGTGACTGTTTGCAATGCATCTGTGCAGTAGTTCAAAAAATATTCTCAGCCACCATTTCTTGCACCTACAGTTGATACCATAATATGACTTCATCTGGTCATTCCCGCCAACTCCGCCCATTTTATGATACAATGATATTTGGGCATTGAACATCATCTGTATTGCCATCCTTCTTTCATCGCTTTACTGGAATTGTAGCAGTATCAGATGGTATTGTTTGAGATTAAACCATATTCACAACACGGTCGTCCATCCATGTTACCGCAGTAATGGTCCTTTGAAAGACAGATTGCACAAAGACAGACCTTCAACATAATGTTTCGAAAAGGCAGATCAACTATACGGAATCATCAATAAACTTGAATGGATGGACAATAAGATGACAAATACAGAGAATAAACTGACGAATATTATAGTCAATATGCAAGAAAAATTTACCGAAGAATTGAGACAAAATCAAGAAAAAGTGGACATGACTTTCCAGGAAGTAGCTAGAAAAATTCAAAATAACAAGAATTTGATGAATCATACGAAGGAAAAAGTGGAGCAGACTTAGACTGAGGTGGTTGATAGTCAACAAGAATTGGTCTCGCACGTTAATCAACAAATAAAGCAAGTTAAATAGCAGATGAAAAACAGTCAAAATGAAATGATGTGCCATGTAACAGAGCAACTGGGTCGAAGTTCAAGCTTCGTGCATGATGTAAGTCAATTAAGACTTAACCAGGAGGACATGCAACACAGTCGTCCATCCATGTTACCGCAGTAATGGGTCCTTTGAATTGAAAGACAGATTGCCCTTGTAAAGATATCCTTCTGGAAGAATAGTAGAAGGACCAACATCTTGTGTAAAAGGACCACGTCGTATTTCTCCCTCGTATTCATCGTTCGACCATTTTGTGTTTGAAAGTTGTATGCCAGTATTTTGCCAGACTGAGCGACCGTTTCCTCTTCCTCATCAGTTTCAATTAGGTCGACATCATGTAAGTTGCTGAGGATTTCTTCTTGTTCATCTTGCACAGAAGACAGACCTTCAACATCAGGTTTCGAATAGGCAGAAAGCTCGCAATCAATATCCGAGCACACTCAATCATAAGAAATACCACAATCTTGCTCTAGGACGTCTACAACTTCGTTCTCTGTCATGCTGTTGGGTTTATCCGCCATTGTTTATGTCTTGCCAAAACAAAATTTAAAGGGCAAGATTAAAAAATTCACAAAAAATCGCTCAAAACTAGTTTCGTAGACAAACTATACATCAAAATATTCGCAAACACCTCCTTAATCGAATGGTGTACTTTAAAGCGCATGTCCGGCTTTTGTTTATGAGTTAGCTGGGCAAAAGAAACGTAGGCTCGTGGTGTCCGATATATCGGACACTGGGACTTAAAGGGTTAAGTAGTGACTCAATGCCGTATCTAGCAAAAAAATTTTAGTCACGCTATTGTACATGGAGCCATGCTTATGACGTCATGATTTTAAATCGTACGTATAGTAAGACATAAGTACTTTATTGAAGTTTAATGTATAAATTTTAAAGTACAAACAAACAACATAGACCCATATGCTTTGAGATTAAGGTAAGTTTTGGTAATGTGAAGTGCTTCTTTGATTTTAAGTGTGAATGTAGTATCTGCAGTGTCAAGGATTTAAAAGCAAAATTTGGAATAGTTAGTTTTGCATCTAGGGGATTTTAAAAGATGTTGATGGATATGTGAGTTTTTGTCAGTTATGGTGTTTTACCTAATTATGGTAGGTATAGGACCTCAGGTTTAAAGAATGTATGGAGAAATACATCCCCCACAATCAAATAGGTATACCACTGTAGATTTAATAGAATCATTGATAGGATAATTTTTAATCAAATTAAAATTTCTTTTCATTGATGAAACATGTTTACTAAAACTTGTTGTTTTTATTAAATGAGAAATTCTCAAATTTATTAGCTATTAGTGTTTTTTCACAGAATTCTTCCCTATTCGAAACTCTTTATGTAAAATATAATTATCTTTTGGACAAAAGGAGCAGTAAAGTTTCTACCAAGCTATACTCTGATATTAATATAGTTAACATTCAGGTAAGTTTGACATGAGCTGCACTTTTTTATGATTGGCAAAATTTTTTTATTTTGCAAACAACTGTGGTATTCCAACTATTTTTGCCACAGGAACATAAGATACGCCATAAAGTGCTTCCATCTTCTTCTACACTTTTCACCAAACTCAAAGAAAGTTTGTAGTCTTCACTTGTTTTATTCATTTCATATCATGAAGAA